AGAAATGTAATTTAAAGTGATTTCCTCATTTAACTCCTTCATAGCTATGATTTAGAGGAAAAGGGAAGCCCGGAAGTTGCCATTTACAGAAGGGGAAATGGAAGCACAGATTAAATAACTGGACAAGGTCATAGAGAAGTCAGGGGCATGCCAAGAATAGAACCTGTTTCCTTGATTCTCAGGTCTCTAACCCCAAGACTGAGTACATATATTACTCCAATAAGTAAGTAATTACCAAATAGGTGTGATCTCATGCAATTAAAAATAAATAATTCTAACAACAAATGAAGTTTGTCTTTATGTTTTACACACGATTGGTACCTAATAAATGTTTATATGATGACAAAACGGTTGACATTACACATTTAGATTGAATACTGCCAGAGTGTAAAACTGGTTTATATAAAGTGAGCAATATTAATGCAATGCAAGCAGTACAGATTTCTCCCTAAAAATTTCTATTGGCTATCACAGCTGAAAAAAACTGAAATTTTTATAATGTTACCTAATATGTTTTTCCACCAGAAGGGCCTTTGTATATTTTGCAACTATATCTATTATAACTGACCAGTGTTGTTACTTTGAAATTATATGCGACAGTTAGATGGGGAGAGAGAATTAAAGGGGTCTGCTTCTAAAAATGCTTGCTCTCAATACAAAACTATATTCATTGAAGGACAGAGACAGTGAACTTCCAATACTAAAGATCAAGACACATTCAGCATTTATAAACTAAGCTTAGGTTGAAAAAAAGAAAAAAAAAACCCAACCAGGTAGCTCTGGACACTGACCGAGAGGGGACCTGAGCTAATAGAGAATGCCAGCAAAGATGAGCCATCCAAAGCCCACTGGCCATCTGGTGTTTGTGGGGACTAGTGAAAGTGAGCTTAAAGGCCAGTTCGGGCATAACATGCTCCAGTCAGTCACATGGGCATCTCTTTGGTACTCAGCCACACAAAAATAAAAGCAATCTTTTAACATCTTAAGATTCTTCCTGAGAAAACTGAACTGGTAACCTGGAGCACAAACAAATGATGCCCAGATTGTCCATTCTCCATACTCTCTTGAGATCCTCAAATCTCTTAGGGAGAGACCCCTTCCCTGCAGTCCTGCGTTGTCACTTGTTCCTTAGAGGCCAACCTCCCTGCCCTAGCGAATCTTATCTAAACAGTTCTTCCAGTGGTATGGCAAAGATCATCTCTGAGATCAAGAGTAGCTCATGGGTCTGGAGAATTGTTAGTCCCTACTCCATTCTTCAAAATGCAGGGGAAGCATGAAGTCCCACAAATGGAATGTGGACTGGCCAAACTACAGGCAGCTTCCCCACATACCACTCTGCCCCACCCAGCCTTAACCATCTGTGGGGCAGAACCACTTCCTCCCATGATTGGAAATAAGTGAATGGAGGGCCATGTGACCTGTGAGAGTTACTTCATTATCCCACTGCAGCCTTCTATTTATTCTTTCTTTTACTTTTGCCTAACACTTCTATAGTTCCTTAATTTTTTCTTCCGCTAACAAAGTCATATTTTCCTCAATTCTACAGGGTTTCCCCCTCAGACCTACCAGATTTCTATTTTTAAAGAAGAGCAATATTTTACTTTTCACAATTTCTCTTCATTTCCCAGAAATATTTGGTACAATTTCTCATTGTTGTGAAACTAGTTCTGTAATAGAAATTTCCTTTCACATTCTAAGGAACTTGGGTCTTAACTTGAAATATACACCTCTCAATCAATAATTACAGCCTTGTATTTCTATAGCACAGTGTGGTAAATGCTCGCCTCATTTACTCCTCATATTCTGTCTATAAAGTGTGTTTAATTATCTTATTTTTATAGGATCAGAAGCTGGAAACTATAGACATGTGAGAGGAACTAGAAATTTAACACCCCTATGTCTGCTTCCTAGGTTTGTGCCAGCCTAACACAGAGCAAGTTTACCAGTATCTATTTAGAAGTCTCTACCAGAAAAATGGCAAACTTCCTCCTCGTTTCATGTTAACAATTTAGTAGTTTTAAACATTGAAACACCTCTCTTACCACCTTACCATCCAAAATATGCAGGGAAGTAAAAGGGAGAACTTGTGCTTATTCCCTCTTGGTTTATTAGCTACATGATTTTTTAGTAACCATCCTTTTCCCCTCTTATTCCTAATGTTTCTTAAAAAATGAATTGTCCATACTAATGGGGTACCGTTTGATATTTCAATATGTGTATGCATTATGTAGTGTTTAAATCAGTTTAAACATATCTATCTCTTCAAACATTTATCATTTCATATGGTGAAAATATTCAATACCCTTTCTTGTAGCTTTTTGAGATATATAGTACATAACTGTAAGCTTTAGTCACTGTACTATGCAATACCACAACAGGACTTCTTACTAATGTTTCATCAGAACAAATTATAGGCAGAAGAAAACCCACAGTATTACTTAGTTAAAACATAGCTCATTTGTACTTTTTTAAAAGAAGGAAGTTTCTGGTTGATCAGTAGTTCTGATGGTTTTAAAATATACTTACATATCTATCGTATTCTAGGACATGAACAATTTAAGTCTAAACTTCTTATATTAACTTATATACATAAACTAGCTGAACATATTAAACCAGTTATTAATTTTGGGTTCCTTAAATGAAGACAGTCTGGCCTCAAAACTAAACTAATGCTTTGGTATGGCCAACTATAGATGTCCCTTTTGACTAGAGCCTCAGATTTAAACACTAAAAATTATTCTACATTTTGAAGAGTAATGTATGTGTATTAGTTGCCCAGGTTCTTTAGAAGATCATGTATTGGTCCACTGTACAAGTTTTACTGTATAGCTCAAAATAAGCATAATAGAACATTCATAATTCCTATGTTGCTAATGAAAAATCCTGTCTACAAGTGAATATGTTAATTTATGCATATAAAAACACATTTATATAACAACATTTGAAAAAATTGGTAATTAAAGTAGGCTTCGTTTATCTGTAAATTTTAGCTTTTCTTTTTCTGACAGGGTGAACTAGAGTTGTTCTTAGTATCCTTGTAAACAAAAGCTCTCATGCATATTTCAGAATATTTTCAAGTTGAGTGTGCTGATTTAACCCCCATGAGTCAAATCTGGGCCTCCCACAGGTAGGTGACTGGATCAGAACCTGCTCACTTAGAGTGAGAACTGTTCCTGGATATACATTGTTGGCAGGTAATTTCGAGCAATAACACTGAAATGAGCCTGCATAGTAACAGTGTAAGCTTTCATTTCTTATCTGTCTTATGAGTAGTAAAAATGAATGGCTTTAACAGAAAAATTCAAATGGTCAATAGACACTGGGTCTTGAAGAAATTCCAAAAGGAATAAGACCTCTTTCTGGGCAATGGTGAGTATACTCCATAAAATGAAAGATCCAACATTCCACAGAGAAATAGAAAAAGTAGCTAATATTTACAATTTCACTTCAGCTTGCCTCCTTCCCTAAATCATATTTTATTACATTATTAAACCTCAAATTTATAATATTGTGTTCTATCATTTATAATTATTTTTTAATACAGTTACTACTAAAATTAAGTAAGCATCAAATTGAAATTTTAGATATATCATTGTCAAAACAACATTTTAAAATATCTTTACAAGGCTGTTTTAAGACTTTTATCCTAACCTAATACTTTAGTTATTTTTAATTTATTTGCAAGTTAGCACAAATATGGATGCCTGCCTGAAATTAATAAAATAATACAAAATCTCAGCAGATCTCACTATGTTTTGGTGAAATATCCACAGTGGTATAGAAGATATCCAAGATTTGCAAGTTCTCTATATTTCTATTCTTAGAAAAAGACATTTGAATGACAAGTCAGACATATGTGGAAATAGCTACTTCCTAGGAATTCCATAACTAACCAGTAACTTTCCACTATCAGTGTACTACACCCTAAACAAAGGATTGAGACATAGATGAAGACTTGAAATTGAAGAATTTAGAACACCAAATAGGCACTTCTGTTTATGCTAGAATTATGCCTTGTTTATTTTTTTTATCAGACTAGTTTTTTTTAATAGCTATCCTTCCAAACACTCTGAAAGTTAAAAGCAATAAAGGAAATATTTTGGCATAATAATAATAATTCTTAGTTTCAATAATATCTTATTGGTGTCCCTATTGCTTCTATTCCTGTTCTTCAACCTAGCTCTCCTGAACTATCATTGGTACCACCTCTCTAGACTAGACAAAAGGGAAAAAGCAAACAGTGTTCAGTCACTAAGACATGCAAGGAAATTTTTTGTGTGCAGGGAGGGTAGGGAAGTATTCATGCAGCAGATACAGGCTGAGCATCTACTATGTGCCATACTCTGGGAGCCCTAGGTACAGAGCAGTTAGCTCATAGCTTACAGACAAATGAGCATACATTAACAATGGTGTGAACAACATGTTTTTCATACTGGGAGGAAGAAATGAGTCTGAATGAGGCAGTTAGGAAGCTTCACAGAGAAGGTGATGTAAGAACTGAGCCTGGAGTTTGATAAAGAAGGACATCTTACGTGGCAGACAATGGTTGGAACCCCATTTCAGACAGATGGAAAAACATAAGCAAACCCTCAAAGATAAAACATAGTGATCATTAGTGCTGGGAAGATGGTGGATCATCCAGTGAAAAATGGGAAGACCAGTGTAACTAACACATTGGTGTAGCTAAAGTCTGAAGAGTCTCAACTGGGAAGCAAGCACTGAGGTTCCAGCCTGGGCAAGTAAGAGCTCACAGGTTACCTTAGTTCTGTGTCTGTGTTCCTAAAATGGCACACTAGAGAGAAAAATGATGCAACAGGGAGACAAGGGAGGCAATCTTCAAGAAGGAGGAATAACTGTTGCCTACCTGTTTCCAAAGTAGGCAAAGTCTTTCCCCAAACACACTACATGTTCTATCTGTAAACTCCCACCTGTGTCCATTAAATAATATTATGGTAGCCAAAGAATATTTGAAAGTTACTCAAGAAACTAACTCCCCCTACCTTGCTCTGGAATGATTATGGTTACAGGGATGCCAGAACCACCGCACTGTAGGTTGAGGGATTCCATAGACGGTACAGGTCAGGACTTGCCTGCTGCCCAATGGGTAGAGAGTTGGTTCTGGGAATGACGACACAGCCTTTTCATAAATCTGGGGTTTCACTGGAAGGAAATGAAGAGCAAGATGAAAGTCAAGAGGCATTCTGACTTTGTCCAAGGCCTCACATGAAGGGCCACAGTCTCACTGGTCTTGATATCAGGAAAACAAAAACACAAATAGACCCTTTTTGACAAGAAAATGCCTATTTTTAAAAACTAGAAGTGTTCTGGGCCTGGGGATTTAACTAAGTGGTGCCCATGCCTGCCTCACAAGTACAAGGTCCTGAGTTTGATCCCTGGTACCAAAAAAAGAAAAAAAAAAAAGACAAAAAAACTAGAAGAATGTTGAGAACATTAATTTGATTCCATGTTATATACATTATGATTATAATAACAAACATTGTTGCCCATGGAAGACAAGCAAACATGAAATAGTTATGATGGTAAAAGAAGTGGTTTTTTTTTTTTGGTACCGGAGATCAAACTTGAGACCTTGCGCTGCTTTCGAAGCAGGCACTGGAACCACTGAGCTAAATCCCCGGCCCCTCAGAAGTGGTTTTTAAAATAATTATTTAAATTTTTGTTTTCTTTGACATCGTTGTACTGACTTTTGCGGGTTTTTTGTTTTTTTGAGGTTTATTTTTTTTTGGCAATGCTGAGGATTGAACTTGGCAACTTACGCATATTGGGCAAGTTTTCTACCACTGAACTACATCCCCAACCCCTTATACTGACTCTTGAATTGACTAATTTTCATTAATTTTCCCCTTAGTAGAGCCCAAAGAATGTATGAACCATAAACTTACCATTTACAGTTAGAGTGGCAGTGAGGTTTTTAAACACATTTAATGGCTTTATGCCCAGCAGGATTGTATAATTCCCCGCATCCTCTGCAGTTACATCTTTGATAATTAATGAATAGCCATGAGCCAAATAACGAGCAGACTTCTTTGTTGCAGGTGACCCATCTTTCAGCCTGTTGTTCAAAACATGGTCAGAAAGTCACTTCCCATGCTTCTCCAATATCACATAGCAATTCAGTTTGTGAGCTCCAGGTAATCAGTTTTGAGCCTTTGATCATTGATTTAAAACTTTTGAGTACTAACATTTCAGTAAAAGCAGATAATGGTTTTTAGACTATTTACTACTTCATATTTATTGGCAAAGAAGAAGTAAACCAAAGGAAAAAAGAAAAGTGGTGACTAAATGTATCCACAGGGAGGCCAGTGGCCACTCTGACCTGTTAACTTAGAGGTACAGGCTCTAATTCCATCGAGATATTTTTCAGTTTCCCATGAGGTTCCATGAGCAGTTCAAGAGCCATTGTAAGTCAGATCAACTAGATTCCTTCTCCAGATAAAAATAAAAATAGACATTCCTATTGTGGTCTCATGTGGAGTTCTTATTAGTTATATAAATGGTCACACCAGTTGTCCCTTTCATAGCAAAACTATAGTGAAATCAAGATATTTTCCCTTAGGAAAACTGTTGAGGCACAAAACAAACTATCAACTTAAAATAATTTTAAAACATTTTAAATATAGAATCAATGCCTTGATATCATCCAATAGCACATAGAAGTGAGAGTCAGGAAGCCTGGATGTTCAGTGGGCTCCACCCCTAACTGCTGCCAGGTGAATGTGAGGCCAACGTGAGCCTTAGTGACCTCAGCTTCTCAAAGATCCCTTTTAACTCTAACATCCTATGGTTTTTTTTCAGTCCAATGTTCTTTAAATGAGCATTTTTGTTCGGGTAAGAGTTTATTGTGTTCTCTAAAAAGGTAAAATAATGAAGTGTTATCAGTTCATAATCATGCCTGTATTACACAGTCCTGCAAATCAATTCCCATTACTAATGAGTCTCAGTTCTAAAGCACTTAAAATGATGAGGTTATATTTTGTGATTATAAGCATCATTTTAGTGTTAATTTAAATTAGTTCCTGTTACAGGACAGCATTTTTGAAAGTGGGTTGAATATTTTTTTCAGCTCTTGCTACTTGGTTATTGAATAAATCAGCATTAACAGATGAGAGTACACTTACAACAAAAGAGTAAATGTACCTTCTGGCCATCAAATTACTATTAAATTTAATAATGTACTGCTAAGCTTTTTAGATATTATGAAAGAAAAAAAATCCCTTTTCCAGTGCTATGGTATGAAGGCATAGTATAAAGTTTAATTTTTCTCTTCAGTTCCCTATTAAGTATTCAAGCAACTAGAAGAAAACATACCTTTAATATGATACTGAAACCAAATAAGCTCTGGCTGAAGAGATTTCAAAAAGATACCACTCCTGTATTGTATGGATTGTTTTCCTAATCAGTTTTTTTGCCATACCCTTTGTTTAAACGTAATGACTTAAGCCAAAGATGTTGGCATTTAAAAGTAATTAAACAAAATGACTTCAGATTGTAAACAGATTACATTGTTTTACTAGATGTTGTATTAATATTATTTTTAAAAAATGGCTTAAACAGTTTCTGAATATGCAACTTTCAAGCCAAAAAAAACACTTCATTAGTTCAAGTAGGTCCACTTGTCCACTCCCACAAATGAATAAGTCTTGTCTGTACTAATGTTTGATTAATTTTAAAACAAGATTGGCACTTTCAACACAGCTACATATAAAAGAATTATTTTCAGCATCCTCATTACAAGGGCCCACTTCTTCAGAGTTAATAGAGCATGTTACACATTCAAGATGCTTCCTAGTTATGGCCCAACACGTTCCTTTCAAAGAATGTTGACATCACAGGAAGGTTTGGAGACACAGAAATTTAGTGTTGGCAAGGGACTGACTAAACTGAAACAGCACTTATTATAAAAAGAGGAAAAGAAAATAACCTCATCTTATCCTGGTGCATTACTTCCCTTCCCCACCTGGCCACCACCACCAGGAAATCAACACAGCCCAGCCCTCGAGCGCTGCCCAAGTAACGTCTCTTGATAGTTTTCTTAGGAGATTAACTCATTGGGCTTTTGTATCTTCTACTTATAAAAGGTATCTTAAAGTGCTATGAAAATGACTGTGGTCCTACCATACAACTTCTGGCGAAGGAAAGGCCTTCACTCTCATGGAGAGCTGGTAGGACCGTTTGCCAGCTGTGGTCTCGTACACATGTCTCTTCCGATGTTTCACATTGATGAATGCCTTTTCTTTCAAAGGAGAAGTGATAAGAACATTAGAACAGAATATTTAAACAAAACTTCACTGCCTCAGAGAGAAATCTACCTGGCCATGAGAGAAAGTTGCTATGGACCCAAGTAATGTGATATCACAAATAACCTAGAGACAGCCAAAAGGAAATCAAAGGTTTCTGAAGAACAGCTCTGTAGGGTTTGTTCTTCACACTCTTTTCTCCCATCGAAGTACTAGCCAGGACCGACTCTGCTTAGCTTCCATGATCAGATGAGATTGGGCATGCGCAGGGTGGTATGGCCATAGACATGTTTTCTTTTTCAACAATGATATAAATAAAGTTTTGAGCATTTTGTTTATATAATTTGCATACTGAAATTAAGCAACAATATTAGGATTCCATGACAATAAAACCAGGGATAAGAGAGTATCGATTCTAAATAATTGATCACACCATATTTTTAAAAGGTAATGCTTGAGAAAACTTTCTCAGATGGTAAAGGTAAAACACTATCATTTTCTCTTGTTTATATGGAACACTAAATGAGGAATTTCATAAATATTATTTCAGTTATTAACCATAAACTTCTGAAGAAATACTGTCCAAAATGTTAAAGATCACTAAATATCATTTGCTTTTTTGAAAGCGAGGAGGAGGGAACTATATATTCATAAATGACAGTGTAAGTACTAGCCAGAGTATTGACTTGTTTATAGAACCCAAAGTCTGTAACAACTAGAAAACATGGCATGATCTGGCAACACTTACCATATACATGGACTGAGGTATTAACAGATTTGTACGATGGTCCACTCCTCACCCAACAAGCATAAAGTCCCTTGTCATTTTTCTGCACTTTGTCAATCGTAAGAATACTGTAGAACACATTGATTTCGGGATGGCTTTTGTCAATACGTTGCCTTATAGAAGCTCTCCTAGTTACCTAGAAAGAAAATTATAATAAATGTAGTAGTAGTAATTGTTCATACTTAATGTTATAGTATTTTAGTATTTCTCAGGTCATTATTTTGACAGCTGGTTCTTTTTTATGCTAAGAAGCATATCAAATGTACTTAGAGCAAAATATTTGGAAACTGTTTCTTTCCCTAGATGTGCTTCAGCTTTGTAGCACAATAGCCTTTATCTAGCACTTTATTTCTTCTGATGGACATACATTATCTGTTTTTTCACAACCACCTAGGGAAATTGGCAGGACTGTTGTTCTTTGGCCAATGAAGAAACTAAAGTGACAGAGACATTGGCCTATATGGTCTAGGAGGCCAGGTCTTCTGAGTATGAATCTAGGGTTCTTCTTCCAGCATACCTATATCTCTACAAACAGTAGCCAGTTCTCTAGCCATAGATATCATATCCAAACATGCAAGACAATTGTTTTAGTATCTGGCTTAATGACAGTGTTTCTCTTTTTTTTTTTTTTTTTTTTTGGTACTGGGGATTGAACTCAGGACAGTGTTTTTCTTAATAAATCACCACATGAGTTTCCTTTCCTGCTGCTGTAAATAAAAAGATGACTCTGGACCAGGCAGACTAACATGGAATACTCCTCATTCCATTATTTCACTATTTGAGAAATTCTTGCCAATTTCTGCTAAGTTCTAATACATGGATCTGGGTGTGCAAACTCATGGACAAATCTAGTCATTGTCTGGGGGTTACTGTCCAGTGTTCATCCAGGGAAGACCAAGAGAAGGCTCAAGGCTCAGCAACCTGAACTGGGCAGTGACCCATTCCTGTTTTAAAAAGGCAAAATCTCATTGCCTTCTCCTTAATTGTCCATTTTATAACACATAGTATGTCATTTCCTCCTTTCAGTGTTTTCCCATGAAATTGGTAGTGGGTCATAGAAATGAGACTTTGGGAGCTGCCCTGACTTCTCTTTAGGTCTGAAGTTAGGTCTTCCCCTTGCCAAGTTTAATACATTTCATCCAGCTATGTTTTTAATTCCCTGGTGGCACAGACTATATTTAGGCCATTTTCTTCATTATCAGCAGTAACCAGAGAGAAAAGTCAATCACTGCCATCAAAAGTCAGGGAATTAGTCTCCTAACATGACAGACTAAGACCTTCTGCATATCTATTTGAGCATTACCTCTCCCTTTGTGAACTCTTTTTTTCCCAGGTTCAAGTAACATTGGTATTGTTTTTCCCTTAGAAAACAATTTATCCTGTGTTTTAGGATTGCTCTAATACCTCAGCTACCAGCTACATCTGCCTATTTAAGATAAAATTAACCAAAATTTGAAATTCATTTCCTCGGTCAAGCTAGCCATATTTCAAATGCTCATTTTCCATATGGGGCTAGTGGTTACTTTATTGGACAGCACACGTATAGAATATTTCTATCACAAAATATTCTACTGGACATTAATATTTTTGAAAATCATCAGCATTCAATAGATATACTCTAAATACCCTTATTTATAGCAACATTGCTAACGGGATAAAAGTTTCTTCCTTGTTGGCTTTTACTGAGAATATGTACTTTCTATCACAACCCAGAAAATATTATGAGTCATAGCATTTTTATTTAAATAAAACAATACTATTTCCTAGAAAACAGCTTATAACCGATAGGTCCCTGAAACTCTCCTTATGGGGTACTTATTACATCTTCTTGTTGCTAAGTTATTCTATTTCCTTGGCAATAAATGTCAATAACAATACCTTGGGACTGATGCATTAATCTTTTATATATTATTTAATCATACATTAACTTGGTGATTGGGCAATTGGAAAAAATATTAAATGACTGTACAGTGCTTGGGACATGCCACATAAATCATAGTGACACTCATGAGACAGTGACTATCTACTGTGAGAATTTTCTTAAAACGTTATCATAGTTTCTTCATCTGTACACTTTAAAAAAAATTATTGTCTACAAAGATGTTCCATTTGAATATGAGAACCTGATCAATCTTCACTCTTCTCATTTTTCTGAAGGACAGAATTACTCCTTTGACACTCAACAGATGGAATATTGGATAGCTGAGCTGCAGTATCTTTTCCAAACATACCCTAATCAGGAGCCTGACTATCTCCCAGTACCTTAAATGAATGCGCTGACAAAGGCAGCTTCCCAAAAAGTGGTAGTTGTTATTACAAAAGACAGTCTCTGCCTGGCATCTAGTGATAAATTTTTCTCTCATCTCTAAATCCTAGAGCATCGTTTCCAAAGATGAAACAATCCCCTTTCCCACCCAGAATCAGTATAGAAACAGCAGCATATACACTTCAAAACAAAACATTCAGACATCAAAAGACAGTATCTATGCCGATCACATTCATGAAATGCCAGGCGAGGAAAGCACCCTATCCAAACCTGAAGCTTCCTTATTGATAAGCACTGCCACAGGAGCCAGAACCCTCTGGGTTTTCCCCGTCTCAAAAACCCAGTAGTGTTTTACTTGCTAAGACTAAATAGTGTCCTGCCAAGCAAGTAGAAAAATGGGCCACTCACTTTACCAGGGTAACTCCAGGTCATCTGCACTCTTGTGTTCAAGGCAGTCGTGGCTGTACAGTTCAGAGTAAGAGTGTGATCTCTGAGTAGTTGCACTCGGTTTGCTGGGCTCATTTGGACATGTATGATTGTATTGGCTACAAGCGTAAGAGAGAAAATATTTTAAACACCACAAATTCATTGGCAGCCAAGTCATAGAGCATTTTGGCTCAAGCTCGGGCCTTTGGACCATCACTTACTTTGCCGATGTGTGAGATAGTTTGTAGTATACAAATGTTCGTTGATTGTTGTTTCACAGGTCAGAAGCCCTATTTCTCTATATGTTGCATTGGATATTATGAAACCCTTCCTACTGTCCCAAGTTATTCCTTTTCCATCAGGGACCAGAGTATCAAATGGAAACTGAAAAGGAAGAAACATGCTTTAACAAAATCATATTAGTGCTACAGCAATGCTGCTTCACTGGTAAATAGTGAAAACGTGATTTTCATTTAAATGGTATAGGTAAAAATTCTAGTCTTTGTCGGTGGTTCTTTAGTTTTCTTTAAATATGACCAAATCTATTTTATGTGATAAATTACAGTCATTATAGTAACTTATTATCAGCCTTGGGAGCAAGCTGAACTCATCCAGGATCTAACTCGCTGTTGTGTCAGACTTCTACTGGGCACCTGTGACTCCTTGGCCTCTGGGATCTTCATGGTAAGCTGGCCTGGTACTCAACAGAAAAATCAGTTAGCATGTTTTGCACTGGGCCTACCAGGATATCCTCATATGTCTTTATCATCTGCAGCTTTTAATAAGCCATCACTTGTCTTCCCATCTTGCATGGCTTACTAAAGAGGTAGTTGTCTATCAATACCTTCAGATCCTCCAAGATTCCTAACATGAACATGGCATTCACTGAGGTTGTCATTCTGAGAATCCCACTGCCTCACAGGGAAGCCATCAGCTCTGCCTTGAGGAGGGGAAGCTCTGGCAGTGGATCTGGCCTCTGGAGGCCAGGACACTTATGAATGAAACACCTTCTCTTAAGAGTACTGTCAAGCACAATGAACCCACACTGAAGAAAAAAATTCATGAGTTACTTCTCTCTTGATGCCATCATCCAATATCCAGGACTTTTTCCTCTTCTTTCTGTGGTTGAGGATGGAACTCAGCCTTTGCACTTACCAGGCCAGAGCTCTACCACTGAGCTACACCTCCAGAACCCAGGATTTAAGTTTTAAAACCTACAGTGTAAACACTCCACCTTGAGCTTTAACTTTATCAAGGGACATTGCTCCATTGCTTTATCAAGGGACTGGCCAAACAAAATTCCCTAGATGCCAGGTTGCCAGTCCACTTTTAGAAACATGAACTCTTATTACTGCTATTACTTATCCTCAGTGAGAATAGGAAAAAACTTAGATTACTTTTGCCCATGGAAATGCCTAGCATCCATTAAGATATTTGAAATACTTTTAAAGAGTCCCCCCCCCATTTATTCATAAATGAAGTTGTCCATCTGGAAGCTGTGGCAGAAAATTCCAGTCCAAAAGTCACTAGTGCCTCTCTTCCAGTAAGGATGCCTATACTGGTATGTGTTACCAATGCTGCTTGGGTTTAAGTTAATCACATCCTGTTTACTCCTGAAAGCAAGTGAAGGATTCTTTTCATATTCTAGTAAATCAATATCCTACCTGTTAGCTAAGGAATGGTGTGATTCAGTGGGGGAAAAGAACCTTCTTTTGTAATTTGGCACAAAAAGTTAAGGGGAAAACTCAGAAAAATATAAGTCAGGAATCGAAACCTATGATGCTTTAAAAGTCAGATATGCATCACCAAACCTAGAAGGAACGTTTGCTGACACATTTCCTCAGTACAACTTAAAAAATTAACATTTCCTTTAAAGTGTTTTTACTCTGATCTATCCACTGTCATCACTAGTACTGTTCCATTGACAAAGTAACTTCGTTTTTAGCTGACAAGTGCAAAAACATAATCAGCTATGGCCATTGCTGCATGGGTCATAGAGGTAGGGAGACTGCACCTTCAAGACAAGGTTCCCAGGAGACAGGGCCATCTCAAGCTGACAGTGGCTCCACCAGAGAAGGCATGAGGAAAGGAGAGGGGAGGGGATAGCAGATTAGAAGAAAAGGGACAATATGAAAAATGGAAAGGAAAATTGTTAATTTCATGTCAGCACAAATAATAGGTTAGGATATTTTCAGTATCTATACATGTCAAAACTAAAACTCCTATTAGGATTTTACCCTTCTCTTGTCTTTATTTTTAAAGATTGTGCCTTGTAAAGGTTAGGCAGTAAAACAAGAGTAAATAACTTCCCCTGCCCCACATTTTTACATGCTGGAATTGTGGAATGTTTCTGTGACAGAAAAGCCACTTGCAGTAGGACTTGCATGAAAGAATTTCCCTATCTTCGTGGTTTTCCATGTTAATCAGGTAGCAGTTATTATCTCCAACTAAGAGGAGTAACACCATGCAGTTGAAAACATGACTTGGTAATAAACCAAGAAGTGAGTATTAAACTGTTAAATAAATAATACCAATAGCTGACCTTTGAATGAGGCTTGTCTTATGCCAGATGCTAGTCTAAGTGCTTTCCATCTTGCCTTATTTGGCCTTCCTAATGACTGTGTTAGTGACAGTGGTACAACTGTGACCACTCCATTTCTCAAATGAAGGAAAAGAGGTGGAGAAGAGTTGCATTACTTTGTTGGTTTGCCAGTAGGGAGGCGGCAGTGTGATGACACTCCGGAGAGTGTGACACCAGCCTCTGCTCTGAGCCACTCTGGCCTTCCTCTTGTGCAAACTGAACCACTGGAGAAGAGGGGTAGGAATGGACTGGGAATTCATGATACTGGCTATAATGCTCAGTATGCCAGAAGTCCCCCCACACCCTGAGAACCTCAGTATTTCCTTGACCAGTTGAGCTTAACTCCTCTGATGGCTCCCGGTGAAACCCAGGAGTTTTATATTTTTCTGACAATGGCAAACAGATGTGATAGAGGCTTAAACCTGTCCCTAATAGACAACATAGTAGGCTTAAGTCAAATTTACAACACAGGAGAATGATCCAAGGGGGGAGGACAGGGAGACATCTCATCGCACTTCAATAGATGCGAACCACAATTTGGACTTTCCCAACTTCACTACCACCACTTACTTCCTCAGTACCTGCTTTGTGGTGGATGGTGGTAGATTTGGGAGTTTTGTCTTGAAACTCTAAGGTCTCAGAATTTAGTACAGTTTTCCATATGGGGAATTTGTATTCATTCTTAGTCATAAGCCGGGAGTCATGGTGCACCTGTAATCCCAGCAGTCAGGTGGCTGAGGCCGGAGGATTGCTCCAAGTGCAAGGCAAGCTTGGGCTACATATTGAGACTCTGTCTCAAAAACAAACAAACAATTCTTAAACCTAGTATACTCTGTGTGTGTGTGTGTGTGTGTGTTTTGCTGGGGATTGAACCCAAGCCTTATGCATGCTAGACAAGCTCTCTAACACTGAGCTATAGCCCAACCTTTCCAAACTTGTGTAATGAATTAACTCAAATGTCACATTTTAGTTTTGTCTTTATTAGAGTCTACCATAAATGTTTTCTTTACTACATAAACAATTTATAACATAATACAAAGGAAAACCTCACGGATAACTTTTTCTTTAACCCTTTTTTTACCTAAGAGGTTAAAATTGGATGCCTAGAAGGAGTTAAGGCTCATCACCAGAACTCCCCAACTCAAACAAGAGATGTTGGCTCCTATGCATAAAGCAAATGCATGTCAGTGCTAGAGATGGGTAGTTCTGTCTTCAGAATGGAGGAGCCATTCTGTCAAGTTATTAATTTATATAAGCAGTAAAATTTGCTTTTCTCATATTTTCAGACATTTGGATTTGTGACAATATATACAAATGTTCATGATTGTAGGTATTCATATAGATTTATGATTAAGACTAGATTCCATTTTATTCTACTGAACTACAGTACACACATGGCTACAACTTCTAGCACTTCTCTACTATTGTAGAAGGATATTACAGATAAGTCCACTGAGAAGTGTATAGGTCTGTAAGAAAATTATTCCAGAAGAAGAGATGGTTAAATCATTATGCTCAGTTGCAGTAAAAATATTCTGAGAGGAGCAATGATAAATTTTACCTTTTTAAGAGTAACAGTGATGTTAGGTGATGAAACCCGGCAAGGAATGATGAGCTCCTTTCCTTCCGTCATATATATAATCTCAGGTATTTCAATGTGCCTCTCTATGAAAGGTCTATCTGTATCTGAGTGAGAAAAAAATTAAAAATACATAAATGATTGAAATACAAACACACAGACTCTGCAGCTGGTGAGGTCATCCAGGTACTACACCATCTTCCCCTTAAGGTCATTCAGTCTTTGTCTCTCAATTTGACCATCTGTGTTTCGCTTGGAAAAAGAAACTTCTTTAATAAAACCCAATTTCTTATTCAGTTCTCGGCCTTCAGTGGGATTGCCCCATACTCTAATATGCAGTGGACATAAGGAGTACCACTGAGAGTGAAAGAATAGTCTGCTTAAACTTCACTATGCTAAGTGCCCCAGGAAATGCACTTCAGAGCCTTTGTAACAGCTTAAAGGCCACAGAGGAAGTCAACTCTATTTGGAGAGTTAGTGATGTTCCAGGAGTGTAGCAATTTAGAGAGAGGATTAACATTAGAATGACAGAAACATGCCTCAGCAGGTTTTCTAGACCTTTCCTAGCAGACTGTTAGGAATAAGAATGTCTGAGCTGCTTAGGGGGAGGGCAAGAAGCAGGAGAAGCAGTGTTGAGAATTTCACGTGCATATTAGGTCTGTTTCTTTAGTATGCACGGCTTATCTGCGAAGAGCAAAAACAAAATATGTACAAGTGCCTCCAAAGAGATCTGGAAAAGCCTTTCAATAATCACCAGAATATCTGCTTTGGAAGTATGGTATTTGGCCCTTCTCAGAGGCAAGGAAGATTCAAAGAGCCTGTTCTGCTTCCTGAGGAACCAGAGTGAACATCAGAGCCTACTAGAAACATTCCCAGTCTACCCTTGCCCTGGTCCTGAAGAATCCATTGACATCCTTAGGCAGCCATCTCTTCAGGAGTCTTTGTGCCCTGCTCCTCCCCCACCCCCCGCCCTCCCCGGCTCCAGCCTTACATGCCCAGAATAAGTTCTATGTGAACTCTGTCTGTCTGGACCTTAAAGAACCAAGCAGGTTCGCACCTGCTTGCTGATCCTCTCTTGAATCTGTAGGTTAGGAAGCTCATGCTGGATGCTGAGTGGAGAACAAACTGTAGAAAGAAAAAGTCAGCAGCCAATAGTTGCCCAGATGGTGTTTATACTGATCTTTAAGGATTGAGTTGTGCACATCCTCTTAAAATACCACCACCGCCACCAACAATAACAACAAAAACAGTTGAAGCCCAAACTTCCCTGTACTTCTAATGTGGCCTGATTTGGAAATAGACTTGTTGCTAAGTAGAGTGGGTACTGATTGGCATCTGTGCAAGAAGACAGCCACATAAAGACAAAGACTAAGCTTGGCATGACATGTACATCTCTGGAATGCCAGAGATTGCGGGGAACCACCAGAAGGTAGTAAGAGAGAGACAGATTCAGAGGCTTGGCCCTCAAAACACCTTGATTTCAGACTCACAGTGACATAGAAAAAAGACTGGAAACAAATACACTAAAATGTTAACAGTGATTATCTTTAGGGGCCGCGGATTTAGCTCAGTGGTTCCGGCGCCTTCCTTGCAAGTGCAAGGTCCCGAGTTCGATCCCTGGTACCAAAAAAACAAAAACAAAAAAAACCAGTAATTATCTTTGGATGGTAATTTTATGAGTTATTTTCTAATTTACCTTGTTGTAGTTGGCAATTTTTCTAGAATGACCATGTGTCATTTTATAATATTTTAAATTATTAAAGTTAAAGCTCAAATTATAAAGCACCATTCATTTAAATTTGAGGAAAACTATATACATGTTGTATTTGATTTATTTTAGTTTTGTCCTCGATAATAGAATAAGACATTAACTGTCCCAATTAATAAAGTTTTATGTTTATTAGGAATTCTCAATGGGTGTAAAACATGCAAAGGAGAAAAGTTAATTATATGGAGACAAGGATTTCTTACCAGCATTAAATTCCTCTTCTAAATAAAGTTGCTGAGCTAGATACTCAGCTAGAGACTATTGGGATTTGATCATTACTTTCCTTCCTCCCATGAGTCTATATTTTTGTCTCTTTTGTGAACTCCAAAGTAAACACAAACACCAGGAAATGGTTTAATCCATTTAACTAAGCTGTAAATCCTTTATGTTTAATTTACTGTCTCCTTAAACTACCATTTTCAATAAGGACTCCGGCTTAAAAGTTCCTACAGGAAATGGTCAACATCAGTATAGTCATTTCTAGGCTACTGAAATGCCAGTTCCAAATGAAAACAGAAAAGGCTAATTTAACATTGTCTTTTAGTTTCTTCTTCCACTTGCCTCTTTGGCTCCTTAAACACTTGAATTTATTACAACTATTGGCCTCTAAAAGCCAAGTCCAATTTCAGTACTGAACCCACTATAATTCTGTTCAAAGATGTCAGAATTTCAATGATTTTTGTCTATTCAAACTCAATTTAAAATATATCATTTGTATGACAGTACTGGCATAAATGCACTGCATTTGCAAATGAACTTGTGACTGGAGGCACACACGCACACACGTGCGCGTGCGCGCACACACACACACACAGTATTCTCTGGGCTTATTAATAGTATATTTCCTCTGCAATCTGCTTTAAGGAAGGACTGAGAATAAACTTGCCTGACATAATACAAACATATTTTGTTTTGTAGGACCATAGATACAAAAGAAGTCATAGTTCCATTAATATCACCAGTAAAACCACTTACTACTCCCGTAGGATACATTTGTCATTGTCACAAAATTAAAAATGACTCCTAAACACAGCCAGCACTGCAGAGTCGTTTCCTGCGACCAAACTGGCTGCTTGTTGAAAGAATGAGGAAGAGCTGCTCCAAAGGCTGCCTGGCCTGCAGCTCAGACACTGTGACCAAGGATTTGTGCCAGTGCACAACTAGGTAAAGGTCACACTGCCCTCGCCACACTGCACTCTGGGGGCTCAAAGCAGTGACAGAACTGGCATAGAATGTGAGGTTTGCTCACCCAGTGGGAGTATCTGGGCTATCTCTTCAGGGCAAAAAGTGGGCTCAGACACAGGGAAAGATCAAACAGGACCCTTGCTCAGAATGGAATTATGTCTATTTTTAAAATGTGTTTTTTCCTTTTGAAATCTGTAATCGGACTGGCACAAATCAGGCACACGGACAGAGGTCCCAGCATGCTATCCTCATTCTGCTCCATTTCAGCTGGGTGTTCCGGGTTCAGAGTAAGTGCGTGACCCCCCAAATTTAGGGAGCTTTTCATTTTTTTTGACTTCAAAGGGGTTCAGGAGTTAAACGTCTTGTTTTCTAACACAAGTACATTTTTAAATAAACTTTTTCCTGATTTCTTTTTCCTTTATTTTAATTTCCCTTCTAAATCCTGGTCTTGAGGAACCATATTTATTTATTTGTATTTTCAAAATTTTTTATTTTTATTAGTACCCATTTGCAGTATATAATGATTACATTCTCAATGGGGAGTTTGTATGTGTAAATAACATATGCTAATTCTTCTTCTTTCCCCTCCCCTCCCCTCCCCTCCCTGTCCTCCATCTCTTTGTTCCCTTCCCTTTTGCAAAAGATTTAGCTCCCTATTTCCTGTTATCTTTTATTTTGCTCTTTGCTTATATTTTAGATTTCTCCAACAAGAAATAATGCGATATTTAAACTTGTATGTCTGAGTTACTTTACTTGACATTATGGTCTCAAGGTGTATTCATATTCCTACAAATAACTCAAGTTTATCCTTCTTATGGCAGAGTAGTACTCCTTTGTGTATAAATACACTTACATTATCCATTCATCTATTGATGGACATATAGGCCACTTCCAAGAGTTAGCTATAAAAATCATGCCGCTATAAACATGGGTATGCATGTATCACTATAACATGGTGTCTTTAACTCTTTTAGGAAGATATCTACAAAGGGAATAGCGGGGTCATGTGGAATTTCTTTTTTTTTTTTTGGTACCGGGGATCGAACTTGGGTCCTTGCGCTTGTGCAGCAGGTGGCGAAACCACCGAGCTAAATCCCTGGCCCTGGAATTTCTATTTTAGGTTTTTGAGCAATCTCCATACTGATTTCCATAATGGTTACACCAGTTTATATTACCATCAACAATTTAGAAGGGTTCCCTTTTCCCTGGAGCCTCATCAGCATTTGTTATTATTTGATTTATTGATGATAACCATTCTTTCTGGAGTAAGACAGAATCTGAATTTTTAAATTTGCATTTTCTAATGGCCAGAGATGCTGAACACTTTTTCATGTATTTATTGGCCATGTTTACTACTTCTGAGAAGTGTCTACTCATTTCAGTTGCCCATTTTTAAAAATTGGGCCTTTTATTTGGAGGGGTCTAATTTTTTCTGTAGTTCTTTATGTATTCTAGATATTAGTCCTCAGTCCAAAGAGTAGCTGGCAAAATGTTTTTCCCATTCTGTAGGTTGTTTCTTCACTCTATTGCTTGTTTCCTTTGCTATGCAGAAGCTTTTAAATTTAATATGGTTACATTTATTGATTCTTGATGTTATTTCTTGTGCAGTTGGGTTTCTATTCAGAAAGTCCTTGCCCACCCCATGTCTTCAAAAGTTTTACTTATTTTATTTTCCAGGAGATTAAATATTTGTTTTAATTTTGAAAGAGAATGTGATTTTCATTTACTGAGGAAGTAGAGAGTACAAAAGTATAAAATACTTTGTATTTTGCATTTAAAAATATGTAATATGCACTTCTTTTTTTTTTGGTACTGGGGATCGAACTTGGGTCCTTGCGCTTGCGCAGCAGGCGGCGAAACCACTGAGCTAAATCCCCAGCCCTACATGCACTTCTTTAGAATGTATAAAAATGAAGGTACATGTTATATATATTTATTATATTTAATATACCTAGAGTATATAAAATATATTTATGATATGTAATTTTATAAAATAAATTCAAGAACTCTAACAACTCTAATAATACAGAGAAATAACTTAATTAAAAATGGAAAAGAGGTCTGAATAGACATTTTTCCAAAAATGATGTATAAAGTTTCAGTAAGTGCACGAAACGTTATTCAACATCATGAGCCATCAAGGAAATACTAATC